ACGTTTATTACTGACCCTATTATATTGTTTTTATGTTTTTTATTAATCACTGAAAACGTTACTTTTGCATTTTCGTCTAAATCCGGATCATCTGCAGTCATAGTATAAATAACGGCGCTTACGGGGCTGTTCTCTTTGACGAAAATGTTTATTACGGGCTCCTTAAAACGAGGTGCGTTGTCATTGACATCAGACACGTGGACCGTAATAACGCTTGTACTGGAAAGAGGCGGAACCCCTTCGTCAGTCGCCTTTATTGTTACATTATATTGGGAAGCTCGTTCTCTGTCTAGAGTCCCGTCTACGACCAAAGAATAATGATTTTTATACGTGTTCTTAATTGTAAAGGGCACTGAATCAACTATTCTAACCTGAACAACGCCATTTTTATCTGCGTCGATATCTCTCACTGTTATAAGCCCCACCATTGTGTCTAGCGGTGCATCTTCCCTCACTACGTTGACTAAGGATGTTACTGATATTTCTGGTGGATTGTCATTAACATCCGTGATTTCAACGAGCACTTTACAATGAGATGCTCTTGGACTTGCCCCTTTGTCTTTCGCTTGGACCCGAATTTCAACTGCATTACTTTTTTCGTGATCCAATTCACCATTTACCGTAATCTCTCCCGTTATTTGATTAATTGCAAATGTATCGACATCATTATCACTGTCGTGATTGAGAAAAGAATACAGTATTTCTCCGTTCAGACCCTCATCTAAGTCCCGGGCATGCACAGAAATCACGGTGGCACCGTGCGGCGTGTTCTCGAGCACTGTGGCTTTATACAGCGGCTTGTCAAAAATTGGAATATTATCATTTACATCTTGCACATTAACGGTGATATGTAACGTGCCTGATTTCGGAGGTTTACCTCCATCTACAGCGGTCAGTGTAAGTTTGATAAGTGGCTGTTTCTCGCGGTCTAAGGCTTTCTGCAGCACCATATCAGCAGACATAGTCGGCTCTCCACCATTCTGTACATCCAGGGTGAAATGTTCATTTTGACTCAGCTTGTAGCTTTTAACCGAATAACTGCCGACATCTGCATCGTAGGCCTTTGCTAGTGCAAATCTTTCACCAGGAAAAGCTGACTCGGACACGTTCAAAACAATTCCCGGTATCCGAAAAGAGGGTACGTTGTCATTTATATCCACAATTTTAACCTCAAAGCGAAAGAGATTCAGTGGGGAGTTTACGATGGCTTCCACTTCCAGAGAGCATTTCACATTACGAGAGCAGAGCTCCTCTCGGTCTATTCTGTCTTTCACCAAAAGTATCCCAGTCTTAACATCTGCCTCGAAATACCTCGTATTAGGTCCTGAAATCTGAAAACCGCGAGTCTCCAATTCTTGTAGATTCAGATGCAAGTCCTTCGCCAAATTACCGACAGTGGTACCGGGGCTCGATTCCTCCGTAACAGAATACACAACCTGTGCTGCTGCAAGACTCCATATCCAAGATACATGGAACAAAAAAATAATCCAATGCCTGAAAATATTCCCTTGTTGCATTCTGTCCACTGCCTGACAAACAAGTTAAGTCGAGAAATTCACTCCAGCGGTAACATTGCTCAGTAATGATACATCCAGATCAGAGCCTCTCAATACAGTGAGAATGTGCTTCACTGCCACGACGAACAAAGAATTACAAACCTCTCTCTTAAACGAAAAGGGAGGAGCGTCGCATATAAAACGTGTTTACCTCTGTGAGCTGATAGCGACATCTTGTGGTAATTTTGAAGTCAGAGGAAAGGAATAATAAAAAGACAGGATGAAGTATCAAATCTGAAGCGTAACTATATTCTAAGCGTCTTAAACTCACATAAAAATACAACACACACAACTTGATATTATAGCAAGAGTGGGTAGCCTATTATAACTATATGAACAGGATTTGGAATGAGGGTAAATATCAAAAATGTTTTGGAAACTACTAAAGTGTTGGATACCAAACAAGGGCTAAAATAATTGACCAACATGTCACCGAGGAACAAATTTAGACTGAAGCATTTCTTAATGTTCCACACTTTCAATGACGATACATATGAGCAATCTTGAGTTGGTTCAATGAGAAGTATCAAGGACAAACAATAAAGTCTCAGACTTATTTTCATTGTGGTCCTGAAATGGTCATCTTTACCAATATAACCGTGTTATGTTAAAAAGTAAAATATTTGATCACCGCTGCCTTGTGTTTTATGTGCCATCGCCCTTACCTTTTCTTTATTAGGTAAAGTCTGAGTCCGTGTAAATGTTTCCCCTCCATTTATACTGATCAGCTCACCATCTACAGGAGGAAACGGTCCGGGGAAAAC